TAATTACGGACATTTTAAAAAAAATTTGAAGTCTCTAGCTCTTATATCTTCTGAAATCGACGCGTTCATACATACGGACAGACGGACAGACGGACAGACGGACAGACAGACGGACAGGGCCAAATCAACTCAGCTCGTCACCCTGATCAAGAATATATATACTTTGTGGGGTCTGCCACGCCTCCTTCTCCCTGTTACATACATTTCAACAAAACCATTATACCCTGATTTCCCATTGAAAATGGGTTCAGGGTATAAAACAAAACCATTATACCCTGATTTCCCATTGAAAATGGGTTCAGGGTATAAAAAAAAATTAATTACAAAATAAATAAATAATGAAATGATATCAATATACCAAAAATATGTTGTAAAGGAGTAGATTTGATTATATATACGATTTACCTAAAACAATATTAGACAAAAAAAAAAAAAAAACAAGTAAGAAAGCTCTAGTCGAGACTGCTCGACTACGAGATCCCCTGAACCCTTGGAGCAATAGATATTTCAATACTTTTTCGCGACTTTCAGCTTACACAAGAAACACGCACACACACACACACACACGCACGTACGCACACACAGGTAAACATACACACACACGCATAAAGACACACATACACACACACACGCATACAGACACAAACGCATACACACACACACATACACACACACATACACACACAAGCAACCACGCATAAACACGCATGGGCTGCAGTGTGCGCTTACTATGAGAACTTAATTGTTTAATAACTTTTTTTATGGACGTACGATCTTCATGAAACTTTTAGATTATGATTATAACATGAATATGCATGTAATTGCCAAAGCACAAGTCTCTAGTATTTGAAATACGCTTTTTACAAAAGTGATGGTGAGGGGGTGAATTTAGAGGTGGGGGGTAAATTTTAACAAAAACCGAAATTGTATAAATTGCATATAAGCATACATTAAAAATTTGGAGACTCTAGCAATAAAGGTGTAGAAGATATAATTTTATAACTGGGTTTCGATAAGGTTTTTTATCGATAAAAAAAGATCGAGATGAGTTATCGATTTTTAATGATAAACTTGATATGCGCGCTGTAATTACGGACATTTTAAAAAAAATTTGAAGTCTCTAGCTCTTATATCTTCTGAAATCGACGCGTTCATACATACGGACAGACGGACAGACGGACAGACGGACAGACAGACGGACAGGGCCAAATCAACTCAGCTCGTCACCCTGATCAAGAATATATATACTTTGTGGGGTCTGCCACGCCTCCTTCTCCCTGTTACATACATTTCAACAAAACCATTATACCCTGATTTCCCATTGAAAATGGGTTCAGGGTAAAAAAAAAAAAAAAAAAATTCCCGAAAGATTTACTTGTCCATTACTATATGGCTCAATTAAAACATTATTTATGTTACTTCATCAGTTCATGAGCACACATTCCATTATAGAGTTAGTGAATCATAAACGATTATTATGAACAATAACCTACTGGTTCATTAAAATAAATCTTAAAATACATTGCTAAAATAATTGATCAATGAATTGAACTCATTAGTGATTCAGCTCAATAGTATAAGCTGACTGATCGCTGAACTAGTTCAGTACTTCATTCAATTATTATTAATATTTACACAGAATTACTGGAACAGCAACGAATTTTGCAATAACAAAGGTAATTTAAATGCCGACTTTATGGTTGATTAAATCGTATTATACGGCCATCACAATTATAGATCCATATCTAAATATTATAATGTCCACCAGGTTAATCTGATGGTAATTAGTAAATATAAAGGAAGCTGCTGGAACAGAAAACAATTTGCATAAGCCAAATAAATTCGTCTGAATACGGAGGCAGATCTAAAAATACTGTAAATGCTGGGCAGAGGAAGGTGCGCAGGGGCGGAGGGGCATAAGGGTTGGAGGGCTAGGCGAGGCTGCTTTCTGCCAAAATAGGAAGTTCAACCAACCATGAGGGGGTTACGCTGTGGTTCTTCCCCCTTCATCCAGTTCTACTCAGCCCCAGTCGCAGCGATTTATCAAAGTTCATTGAAATTGTGAGCCGCCTCGAGTCGGAAAAGTATTCGTCCTTGGGTGGTTGGTTTTGGAGGCGGGGCTGTGCTGTGCTGTGCTGTGCTGGATGAGGTGGGTGGTGAGGCAGTGTCCTTGCCACTGACTACGTCATTCATTAAAATGTGTTTGCAGCTCGTAAGTTTTTGGCGCATTAAACAGCATTGAGCTGTCAGCCGTACTACAATCCAAACAAAGTGCTATAAAAGCCCGTCACATGCTCAGAGTGCAAAACTTTCTGCACATTCAAGACGCCGCCTCCATTGCCACACCCGCCCCAACAAATTTATTATTGCGTATGGCCAGAGCTAATTCCAAATGCCGCATCCTTCAGCAAATGAAAAGTCAATACGCCACATTTGATTAATAATCATATTATATGCTTTATTAAGCATCCAGACAAAGCAGCTCACAGTGGAGTGAGCGGGACTTGTATACCCTCATTGGTTTGCATACCCTCTACTAACGATTGCAGGGCATGTGCTAAAATTAATTTAGATTAATTTACCACTAAATTGCCAACGCACATAGACAATTGGATGATCTATCACTCAAGTCTTAGCTGAGATTTATGTATCAAACCAAAATTGAATAATCAAATCAAATGAACAAAGAACACTTTTTGGAGAGATCTGACTGCATAAAGATACCCTGGGAGTCGGGCCAAACTGTGTATTTAAAATTATTATTAAACAAATATAATGCTCATGAATATTCCATAAACATAATAATTAATATTTGTCGTATTGTGGTTAATGTAAAGGAAGTCACGTCTTGCCACTAATGACTAATGTCTAATGTCTAATGTCTAATGTCTAATGTCTAATGTCTAATGTCTAATGTCTAATGTCTAATGTCTAATGTCTAATGTCTAATGTCTAATGTCTAATGTCTAATGTCTAATGTCTAATGTCTAATGTCTAATGTCTAATGTCTAATGTCTAATGTCTAATGTCTAATGTCTAATGTCTAATGTCTAATGTCTAATGTCTAATGTCTAATGTCTAATGTCTAATGTCTAATGTCTAATGTCTAATGTCTAATGTCTAATGTCTAATGTCTAATGTCTAATGTCTAATGTCTAATGTCTAATGTCTAATGTCTAATGTCTAATGTCTAATGACAATAAAATTTATAAACTGTTATTTTTATTACTGGTTGTACTAGCATCTTACTTGTATACTACTTTCTGTTCATAAAATAATCTTCGTACTGGTAACTTCACATTTGTAGTTGTATTTGGCAATACTTTCACATTTTAATAATCCAACAGTGAATTGACCTCTAAGCCGTTTGTTAAATACCAAATTATAAAGAGACATCTTTTGTTTGAGCTATTCGCCTTGTATCAGAGCAGAGTTTTAGACTGCAGGGCATTTTGTTCTATGGATAGACCTCTCCACTTGTCTGTAGTTTGTCTTTTCTTATTTTCCTGCTGTATTGTGTCTTCCATCTATTGTTATATAACTCTTTTGTTTGGCCACAGTTGACTTGAGCCATTTGTTTGGCTGGCTGACGGCTTTTATATATACAAATATCTTTATCATCTGACAAGTGCAGACAGCGCCATGTGCCGGCCCAAGGATGTGGCTTCAACTCCTATATCCAATTCACCGATTTACCTTTTTCTGTTGTTGTCTTGCGTCTGCCCACAAATTATAATTACAAATGATATATTTTGGCGTTTTTATTATGAGACTGTGCATAAAATAAATGATCTAAATGCCTATTAGAGCTCACTTCTATGACAAACGTGCAAAACTTTGTCCCGCGTGGATGCCCCTAAATTTTTTTTTATTTCTTTGACTAACGTTTAACTTGTTTTGGTTTTTTTTTTTGTTTTTTGTTTTTTTTAAGATTACATGATTTTTAGCACCATAGAAATATATAATATTAGCCTATTTACATGGAAAATGTTCGACATATAACTGAAATACTTAGAATTATATTTACCCGAATATCCGAGTCTATAAACTAAATGTGTACATTTTGTTGTTTATTATCTTTGCTCATTATTTTAAATATTTGTTCGAACATACTATTCTTTGTTAACAATTTATAATTTGTATATAATCTTATTTATTTTTTAATTCGATTAACATTTGCTTATCTGCTAAATTAGGGTATAGCCTGTACGTTGTCCTAAATTTCGTGCGTAAACTCCTCTCATTTTCTTATTTCTATAAATATTTGATATAGCGAACTGGGGCTATCAATGGAGTGGAGCGATGGGGTGGGCTAAGCGGGAGGGGAGCAACAAAAGAGATAGAGCCAAAGGGGGTCCTTTACGACGTCGCATTGTTGTGCGTAGAAATATCTAAGCTATGCGGCGTACCGAACCGGGCATAATCAAAATACAATTGTGCGAGGATGTGAGAGTGTGTGTATGTGTGAGTGAGTGCGGCAGTACACGTGTGTGTGTGTACGCGTATATGGGTGTTTGTGTGTGTGACTGTTTGTAAGTGTTGTAACGCGTGCACGAATTCTATTTCATGTAGTGTGTGCTAGTGCTACTGCTGTATGTTTGGCAGCTGAGTCTACCTGAGCCTAGCAAACGGTCCTCGCTCTCAGCAAAAGTTTGCTATAAACTGGAAGGCAAAGAGCAAGCTACAGTAACAGAGGGAGAGAGGGCTTAAGAGAGTCTATTAAGGAGCCAGCTAGCGGGTGTGAGAGAGCTAATATTAAAGCATTCAAAATGCCAGAATAATAAATTCATTAATTATAAATTTAAACAACACCAAAAGCAAATGGCACATAAACTAAGTGAAGGCGGGAGAGAGCCGAATGGAAGAGTGGAACGTGAGAGCGGCACTAGCATGCAGCAATCAAGCTCAGCTCCTGTGCAAAACACACAACTGGAAGCGCTCGAGCGATGCTCGTGTGCGCGTCGTTTTCGTCGGCTCGCTTCTCGTTTATTCGACTTTGTCGCTGCGGCCCCGAGGCTCGTAGCAGCTCCGCTGGCTGGCCAAGGAGCCAAAACGTTTTCGTGCGCTGCGCTGACAACATCCTCGCAGGACCAATAAGCGGACGGTGCGTTAAGCAATAAAAAAAATTCTATGCTAGTGTGTGTGTGTGCAGAAACTTTTAATCGTGTGTGTTGAAAATTGATTGCACTTTCAAAAAATACAACAAAAAAGTAGAACGAAAAGCGGAAAGGAATGAAAAGTTAAAGCGAATGACGATATGCAAAGCGAAATGGATTTTTCTGCCAGAAAATTGAAGGCAAACCCAAATTTTATATAATCAAGCAATAAAAATGACACAGCGGTTGCCTGTTCTTGTGTACGTGTGTATGTGTATGCTATGTGTGTGTGCGAGTGCAGAAATGTTAATACCATTGTATCAAATGTGCCTCTGTATGTGTGTGTGAGTGGTTTTGGGTGTGTTTGTGTGTGTGTGCACGTGTGCGTGTCTTCTCGTGCCTTCAGGCCTTTCATAAAGAGGTCAAAACGTTGCTTTCGTTTTTTTACGCTTTTTACAGTGTGCAAAGACAACAAATTTAATGGCCAGCCAAATAAAAGAAACTTGAAGAAGAATCAAAATTGTTGGCGTTCCGTTATTCCGTAATATTTTGGCACCGCCCCCTTTAAGCTGCCCAATGATATAATAGTTGCTACAACTTGAGCAAGACTCCAAAGAAGCGTAGCTTTAACGGTAAGCCGTAGTCGTTGAGTGCGTGTGTCAGAAAATGCGGAACAGAGAAGGAGAGATAGAGAGACACAGAGAGATATATGAATACGTAGTGGAAGAGAGTAGGCATGACCTCCTAATTGCACATTTTTATGGCATACTTTTAGCTGTCGCAATTAATGTTAAGCACAGTTATTTTTTGTGCTGAGCAAAGCTAAGCTGTGTATGGGAATGAGTAAAATAACAGCATAAACGGCCTAACGGCTTAAAAACATACCCCAGTAGTGCACTTTAAGAAAGCTGTGATAATAATTTCTGTAATTATGTGATCATAAAAGTGTTTAATACAATTCGGCTTTAAAAATATAATATAATAAATAAATATTCAGTATATAAATCCTTGAAATGCAGTTGATAATTTGGAAAATAAATTTTAAATAAATCAAAGCCTAATCAAATCAAATACTTGAGTCATTAAAGTGAAAAATATAACCACAATATTAAAATTTAAATTATATCTTTAATAAATAAAGCTTAAATCACATTTTACTAATTTCTTTATAATACCATTTATTAAAATAAATTTTAAAAAATAAAATAAAAATAAAAATGAAAAGCATTTTATGGAACCATTCTTTTAATTATATTAAAAGCAAAAAAGAATTATTTTATGTTCAGTAGTTTTTAATGCATTTACTATTTTCTATTGTCTATTACTTTATGTATATAACATAGGTAAATATTAAGAGAAATATTACTATTGGATCGCAAGACTTTAAAGCAATAATGATTCATTTACAACAGCGCTGAGAATTATGCTTTATAAAATGCTATAAGCCAGTAAATAAAACAAAATATATATGGAACAGTTTTTTGGGCTAAAAGAATTTCATATCACACAATAAAAGTTGGTAATTTTATGTATATATTTAAAACTTTAGCAGCAGTTGACACAAATCTGAAAACTTCATAATTTTAAGGCAAAATTACGTAAATACAAAGGAAAGGACAAAATCAAAATAATATAGCTATAAAAATAAGATGTTACGCAATTTGCAGCGAACCAAAATTTGACACAGCCCTAGAGAATCAAATGCCATAATTAATAATAGTGCCAACAGAATCGAAATTCCTGGCTAAGCTTCAGCCTATGGCTAAAAATACGGCAAAAAAAGAAAGAAGAAAAACACACTCAGGCTAGCCGTAAAAAGTGCGACACTCAAAAGCACACACAAATACATGGAGCCCGTCGGGGGGTGGGGGGTAGAACATTAGCGGCAGCTACTCAAAGCATAACAATGAACGTAACCGCACATAGAGCCTAGAGACAGCCACAAGCAGCTACATAAAAAAATGAAGCAATGAGCGAGGGAGAGAGCAATAGAAAGGAAGATGAAGAGGGAGGGGTAGGGAGAGAATGAGAGAGATTGGGTGTGTATTTGTGTGTATTTGTGTGTGCGTGTTACCTACTAAACTAAATGAAAGTAAAATTGTAAGCGTAAGCTAAAACAACAAACATAGCAGCAGCCGCAGCAGCAGAATCAGCAGCAGCAGTAGCAGCGGTAGTAGCGGCCGCAGAAAACGAAAGCAATAACAGAAACGTGAGCAGCGATAAGAACGCTGAGATAAGCAGTAGAGCGTGTAAGCAAACAAACACACACACACACACGAACAATGAGAGGACAAGAGAGCGAGTGTGAGAGTGAGAGTCGAAGTGAGCGCGTGTGCATGTGCTGCGCTTGCAGAGAGCATGCAAATTGTCTAGTTAAACATAAGCTGGCGTGCAAAAACCGTTTGACTAACTTTAGGTGTTTATCGTCTGCTCTCTCTTTTTGCAGATTTAACAGCTCGTGCAAGTTCAATGTAAATGCGAAAATGTAAACAATACCAGCGCACGCGCAACAACAGAAACAACAACAGCAGTTATAAAAAAAATATAAAACACGCTCTGCCATAAACTGGATCTGACTGCCTTCCAGCTGGGAGCCGTTGTCGTATCCCTTCCAGTGAGGCCTGCAGCACACGGCCAGCGACATTAACAGCGCCACAGCAACGTCAGCAGTGCTGTCCTGCTAGTCGTGCTGTGTGCTACACTGGCAAAACTCAGGGAAATTTTCCACAAGCACACGAACACACACACGCACACAAGGCATACAGTCACACGCACACAGGCACGCACACAGCGTTGTTTTACGTTGCCAAAAAGAAAAGAGGAACGCAACACACACACGTACACATGGCCCAGCCAAGAGCCGTCATCAAAAACGAACGCAACGTCAATGTAGTGGAAATGCTGCGGCCAGCGTCAGCGCCAGCAGCAGCCGCCGCAAGAGTAGCACCAACAACAGCCGCAGCGAGTTGCTTGTCTAGTGCATTGCTGTGTTAATTGTTATTTATGTATAGTAGTGTATATAAATTCGTGTGATATTGCAACAACAATGCAAAAGCATTACAGCAAATAGCCGAGAACGTGCGAAGTACAGAAAGATAGAGAGTGAGGATAGAGAGGGGCAGAGAGTGAAAGAGAGAGAGAGAGTGAGAGGAGAAGTGAACGAGCTGTTTTTAGTAGTGCAAAAGAAAGCGAGCAAAATAAAGTTTCACCAACCACAAACAACGACAACTAACGGTTTAGCAACAACCTTAACAACAACAACAACAACAACAATAACAGGAACAGCAACAGTAACAACATTTAACGGGTCCAATGTTGCAGCAAACAACATGCAGCAAACAACAATGGCAGCAGTATCAAGAAGAAGAAAAAGAACTGGAGCAACAACAACAGCAAGAACAGCAGCAGCAGCAGCAGCAGCAGCACCAAGAACAACAGCAAACAGCTAAGGCTACTAGCTACAGCAACATAGCGCGCCTTGGCAACATGGGCCTTAGCAACATGCTGCCAGCCAGCAATAGCACCACAACAACGATAGATTTCAACAGTCGCCGGCGACGCGGTCGCCTACGGGCCGCCCACAAATGTTGCCGACAAGTGCCAGCAACAAATGCAAATGTTGCTTATACACAACAACAACAACAACAGAAACAACAACAACAACATACGAAACAAACAAAACACCATGCAAAGCTTTTGTTATCAATAATGTGCGCGAACATTGTCGATTGTGTAAATATTTTAAAATGCTTAGTATTATTAACGTTAACAACAACTACAACTGCAACTAATAATAACAAAAATAAGAACAACAATAGGCACGCCCGTGGGCGTTGTCAGCCGCAATGCTGCCTCTCGTTGCTCCTGCTGCTCTGCCTCTGCCTCTGCTGCGCTCAGGCCCACAAGCCGAAGAGCGTGCACAAGCAACAACACCAACAGCAAGAGCATCAGCCGGCGCACAACAACGATGTCACGTTCAACAACATGGCCGACGTGCCGCCCACTTATCAAGTGAAATCATCGCAAACATCGAATGAGGACGAAGCCGAAATCCTTTATCAGTCCTCCGAAATGTTCGGCGAGGAGGAGGAGGACGACCTTGCGGATGGACGTGAGCCGAGCGGCCGGCAGGTGAACGAGGATAATGCGTCCAACCCACGCGGTATCAATGGTAAGTGCAAGCCAACAAGCCATCTAGTAAGCCCTCTCCCCTTACCCACGAACTCCTTCCAACTTGTATTAATATTAGTGGAGCTGTGATATCAGGACACGCTTCAGCTGTTCCGCTTTGTGTCAGTCGGGATGTTTTCAAGAAAGATTGACTATATTGATTATACTTTACATATTTGATTAATCAAGCAAGAAATCTATCAATGTACAAATTTATATTCGGGAATTTAGTATGAACCCTTGAACTTGTTATTTAAATGAACTACCAAATTAAGTTAGCAATCGAATTAGCTCACTCAGCCGTAAACCATAGACCACCATAAACCATAGACATGCAAAGTTCATGAACTAGTTCTATGGAACTAGTCTAAGAAGCGCACAATTAAATATTGAATGTTTCGTTCACATAGAGAACTACTGAATCGCTGAATAATATAGTTTATGAGCTATTAGGGCAAATGAACTATTGAACGTGCTCATTGAGTTTAATTAGAGTTGCCAACTCCTATATAGTATATGCACGATACAAGATTGTATTAATGACATGTCCTTGAGCATGTCAACGGGCAAGACACCTTCGATGGCATGTCACTTTGGTCCTCATGCGAGCGTCTTGACATTTGAAGACGTCACCAATAAGCATGTCAACAAGAGCACAATTTTCATCTGGAATACGTACCCCGACTTCTTCACACATGCACACATTCAAACGCACACTGTCGGGCGCTCAACAAACATGGCTTATGCGTGATTTGGCCTTTTGCCTGTGACTATGACTAATGGAATTTATATTTAAATGAGGCACCAGAGCGAGGAGCAGGAGCTCTGAGGAGGGAAATTCGCTGTATAAGTGATTTATGCTACAGACGAAGTACAATTCAATCGAGCTCTGAGGGGTCGAAGGCAGAGTCTGGCTAAGTCCTCTCCCAGCAGAAATTCGAATTTGACTTGCATAGCTCACAATCCAAGAGCAAATAAAAATATGCGTTACACAGGGCATATGTGAGATATAACATACAATTTATAATAACAATACATAAATATTAATATAATATATGTATGATAAATTAAATCGAGCAAAGTGAATTTAACTATTTAGAAAGTCATATATATATCTCTGCATTTTGATAGGAGAGTTCATAATACAATAAAAAAGATTAAAATACAGACAAGAATGGAGTGTTCGTGTAAATCTCCGTCATAAGGAAACTCAAGTAAATTAAAGTTTAACAAAAATATATAATTATATTATATTAAAGTTAAACAAAGAGAGGAAATACAGATAATTCATTTAAACAAGAATTGTCGCAATAATTTGTAGCGTTTGTATGCGCCATTTACTAATCTTTACTAATAATATATGAGTGTCAAAATAGAATAAAATATTATAAATATTTATTAAAATGATTTCGCTGTTAGACGTTGCGTATACGTCATATTTATGTAGATTATTCATTTAAACAAAGAACTGTCATATGGATTTTAAATACATCATCTGAGGCTTTTGCCAGTATATATAATATATTACAATTATTTTGCTGTTACATATTGCGTATACGTTATACTTACTTAGATAAATCATTTAAATATATATAATAATATTTAAATATATATAATATATAGCTATAATATTATATTTATAATATGTGTGCTCTAACAGGAATAAAATAACATGCAGTTTTATTTTCAAAATTATGTGGGTGTTACACATTGCGTATACGTTATATTTAGTATGCCCTGTAAACCCATAAAGTCGCGCATAAATTACGTATACGCAACGTCTGCAAGCATAAATAATTGAAGCGAAGTTTGAACAGCTGCTAACACACACTTCTACACACAACAGACACACACACACATACCCATACACAGAAACAGCTGCATTTTTGCATTTGTTTTCTTTTTGTTTTTCAGTGCTTGGGGCCAAGTCAAGTTGGGCAAACCTCGTATTCACCTTTTGTTTGGCCAACTGCTGCCACATAGCGCAATTTTTATGCTACTTATTTTGCTGTTCTTATTTTTTTCTCTTTTTCATTTTGTTTTTTATTTTTGGTTCCAACAACAATTAAACACGACGTGGCACAATGTTTGCCTAGGCGTGCGCACCCTGGAGTCATTTCTCATTTTAATGACTCAACCGACGCCGGCCCCCCGGCACCCGTCCCCGCCCTTTTGCGTCGTGGACCCTACGTACATCCCTTTGCGGCCGTCTGTTTCGTTTTCTAACTGTCTGCCGCACACACACACTCGCACACTCGCTCATGGCTCATTGGCAAGGGGGTTAGCAACAGAAGAGGGACGCAAGACAACTAGCTGGCAGCCGAAAGCCTCCATACGACCCTCATAGAGGCGGGTAGGGTCGGGTAGGTAGGGTACAGGTAGCTTATGTCTGAGCATTTTATTATTGCCAGTAAACCAATTTTAATCAATGAGAGTGACAAGTTTCATTCAGAGTTTGATTCGAACAGAAGAGGGAAACAACTATCAATGAAGAAATTAGCTGTATCTAATATATTCTGCATTTATGGGTGGTTTATTTCAGTATATCCGTCAATCTGTGCGTGAATCATTTACAGTTTGTTTTTAGACAACTTAACCTAAACAAAAAATAATTAATAAACATTCTTTGAATGGACAGCAAGAATCACCGATTTGAATACTAAAGAGGAGTAAAGATATATACGGTAACACGATATAGATGTGTTAATAGGATATTTGGTCAGGTCCATCGTAAGGGTTATCTTTTGCCCTTTACAAAATACTTTTGCCAATATCCTTTGGTATTCAGAATGGAAAAGCACAACACAATCTAAAAATAATAATTGTCTAATATTTGCTTTTATGCGAAATCTTATCCATCTTAAGCAAAGTAGGCAAACCTTTTTAAATGCCAATAGATCAATACTTTTTTAGTACCCCAAAGGATCGGTCAATTCAAACCTATTAAAAAGACAGAAATTCAAGTCTATGATAGCTATAGAATTTACCAATAAAATATCTCCATATAAACCAAACGAGAGCTGGGTTAAATTTACTTACCCTATTTGCCCTAATTTCTATTATCTTATATATATTTGGCTATATTATAACTAATTAAATAACGAATTTCCAAAAGTTGTTAAAACTATTAGTCAAACATTGTTTATTTATATACATATATCATATTCTAAATGTGCCTAAATGGCTCGTTATGGGCTCATGTGACCTCATGCAGGGACAGGGTAGCAAAAGTACACACTACATTTCACTCTCACACACACATGAAGCTAAAGAAAAAAAATATTGTGCTGTGTGCTTTGGGGCGCAAATTGCAGTTGAGCTGCAGCCGCAAAGCGGCAGCAAATGCAACAGCAGCAAGCAAAACTGCAAAAACAACAAGGAGAGCAGAAACGAAAACAGAAACAGCAACAACAACAACGACAAGGACTCGTTCGCTGTAGTCTGTAAATCAAGCTTTAAAATTAACGCAGATTGCCGGAACAAGCGACGCTACGAGCAATTAACATGAAACCAAAAACCAGTCACAGAAAATGTCAAAATAAGTGAAAGAAAAAAAAAAAACAAAAAATGGCGAGTACACAAAAAAAAAAAAAAAAGCAGCGCCGAACATAACTCAAACACACGAAAATAGAGAGAAAGAGAGAGTGAGAGAGCTTTGAGTATGAGTGTGAGAGTAGGCGAACGTAGGTGCATGTGTGCAAACAGCAACGTCCATAATAAGAGGTACAAATAGCTTAGTTCAAAACAAGTAAGAAGGCTCTAGTCGAGACTGCTCGACTAGGAGATACCCTGAACCCTCTAAGCTGATAAACACGCATCCACACGCACGTGTAATCACGCGCTCTGCTGACTGCGCAGTTAGCAGCGACTGCGCTTGGGCTGCGCTGCAGTGTGGGCAATATTATGAGAATTTATTTGTTGAATAATTTCATTTGTAGACATACAATCTTAATGAAACTTTCGAATGGTTAAAATGTGTGAGCGAAGGGGGCGTGGTATCCAAAATCTGTAAATTACAAAATCTTCGTATCGATCAACTGTATATACACAGTGTTTGAAGTTTCCAGGTCTATAAGTGTTCAAATTAGGCTGAAAAAACAAAATACATTTTTCGATTATTCTCGATAAAAAAGTTATCGGATGAGTTATCGAAAAAATATGGTAAACTTGTTCTGCGTATGGTACACACGAGTATGCATGCCAAATTTCAGCTCTCTAGTTCTTATAACTTCTGAGTTCGGTGCACTCATACGGACGGACAGACGGACAGGGCTATATCGACTCAGCTCGTCGTGCTGATCAAGAATATATATATTTTATGGGGTCTGCGATCATTCCTTCTGCCCGTTACATACTTTTTCACAAAACCATTATACCCTGATTTCCCATTTTCAATGGGTTCAGGGTATAAAGAATAAAACAAAACAAAAACGCCACATATATGTTAAGGACTATTTCGTTTAATGCACAGATGCTTATACTTGATATATGCATGTATATATGTATAAAGAATATATATATACATATATACAAACAAATATAAGTATAGGTATACACTATCACAGAATTTGGACCTGACTAAAGAGATAGAAAACTAATAATAATAACAATAAGAATAATAGTCACAGCTGCTTCGTTTCATATCTTTCATGCCTTGAGAAAATAGAGTATGCCACTGATTATGGCCAGCACTGTAATCATCAGGCGTACGTATAAGCATCGGTATGTGTACACACATGTGAGCACTTGCTGTGTTTATGTGTGTGTGTGTATAGAAATAAATGTGCATTGGACTGCTCGCAACGACCTTTGTTCGAAATGTTCGTGTCACTCTCTGAGTGTGCATGTGTGTGTGTGTGTGTGTGTGTGTGTAGTATGTGTGTAGTATGTGTTTAGCTTTGCCTTGCTTTTGGCTTTTCTATTTTACCATCGACCCAAATTGCGCGCGCTGCTGTAATAAAAAAAAACACACATCAACAACAACACAGGCACACAGCACTC